TGTAAATCAAAGCAGTGTGATACTGGAGCGAGGATAGACATAGAAGCCAATGGGCCCAGAAATAACTTTCACATAAACAGTCCATTGACTTTCAGTGAGGGTGCCAAGACCACTCAGTTGGGAAAGGGCAGTTTTTTCAACAAGTTATGCTGGGAAAACTGGATATTCACATGCAAAAGAATGAAGTTGGATCCTAACCTTAGACCGCACATAAAAATGAACTCAGTAAGGATTAAAGACCTCAACACAAGAGCTAAAAGTATAAAACTCTTAGAAGAAAATATGAGAGAAAACTTCATAACATAGGATTTGGCAATGATTATATGACGTCAAAAGCAGAGTCAAAAGAAGAAAAAAAAGAAATTCGACTTCATCAAAATTTAAATGTTCTGTACATCAAAAGGCACTACCAAGAGAGTGAAATGACAGCCCACACAGTGGGAGAAAATATTTGCAAGTCATGATCTGATAAGGAGTCACTATCATCATATATTTTTTTAAACTTTAAGATTTATTTATTCATGAAAGACACAGAGAGAGAAAGAGGCAGAGACACAGGCAGAGGGAGCAGCAGGCTCCATGCAGGGGGCCCGATGCGGGACTCGATCCCAGGACCCCGGGGTCACGCCCTGGGCTGCAAGCGGCGCTAAACTGCTGAGCCACCCCGGCTGCCCTATCATCATATATATATTTTTTTCATCATATACTTTTGAAAAAACCTGTACCACACCACCACAACAACAACAAAAACAACCTAATTCAAAAATGGGTAAAGACTTGACCAGACATTTCTCCAAAGATCCACAAATGGCCAATAAGCACATGAAAAGATGCCTAACATCATTGGTCATCAAAGAAATGCAAACAAAAGCCACCATGAGATGCCACCTCACACCCAGGAGGAGGCCTAGAATTAAAACCAAACCAATGGAAAACACTAAGCACTGGTGAGGATGTAGAGAAATCAGAAGCTTTTGCACCTCCTGGTGGAAATGCGAAATGGTTTGGCTGCTGTGAAAAACACTTTGGTGGTTCCTCGAAAAGTCAAGCTTAGGTGATTGTGCGATGCAGCAGTTCCACCTGTCGGTATGTACCCAGAAGAACTGAAAGACCCCGACACCTGTCCACCCGTGTTCCCGGCAGCAGAACTCACGACAGCCAACCGGCAGGAACAAGCCGAATGGCCATCAACAGATGAGCGGGTAAGCGAAACGTGGTCTCTCCAGCAGTGGAGTATTAGCTTTAGAAATGAATGAAACGTGGAGACACGCCACAGTATGAATGAGCACCGAAGCCGCTCTGCTGCGTGAAAGGAGGCAGACGCAAAAGGACAGGGGTCCTATGATGCCACTTCTGTGACGCACCGAGACCAAGCATATTCACAAAGCCTGAAAGTGCAGCAGAGGTCACCAGGGGCTTGGTGGAGAGGGTCGAGGGAGTTATTATGCGACGGGTACACAGTTTTTGTTTGCGATGATGGGAAAGTTCTGGAAACAGATAGTGGTGATGGCTGCACATCACTGGGACATAGTTTAATGCCACTGAGTTCTACAGCTAAAAACGGTTAAGATGGAACATTTTATGTTCCGTATATGTCACTTTAGTAAAAGACATAAAAAAAAATCCGCGGGGAGTGGGGGTGAATGGGTGACGGGCACTGATGGGGGCACTTGACGGGATGAGCACTGGGTGTTATTCTGTATGTTGGCAAATTGAACACCAATAAAAAATAAATTTATTATAAAAAAAAAAATAAATAAATAAATACTGTCGAAAATATAAATAAATAAATAAATAAATAAATAAATAAATAAATAAATAAATAAATAAATAAATACTGGGAAAAAAAATCTGGGCACCTGGGTGCCTCAGTGGGTGAAGCATCTGCCTTTGGCTCAGGTCACAACGACACAAGCACCAGGCTCCCCGCTTGGTGGGGAACCCGCTTCTCTCTCTCCTCCCTGCCTGCCACTCCCCCTGCTTCCGCGCTCTGTGTGCGTCAAATACAGAAATAAAATCTTGAACAAATCTGTAAAAGCACATTGCTGGGCACGTGGCCGGCTCAGTCAGTAGAGCATGTGACTCCGGGTGTCAGGGTTCAAGCCCCGTGGTGGGCAGGGAGCTTCCTTAAGATGAAACAAATGAAAAGAATGTTTATAACAATTCTATTCCTAAGTGCCAAAGAACTCGACACGATCCAAATGTCCTTCAATGGTAAGTAGATCAACTGTGACACATCCACACGCTTGAACAGTCAGAAAGGGCTACTGATGCGACTTGGGTGAACCTCGGAGACATAATACTGGGCCAAAGAAACCCGTCTCAAAAGGTGGCATACTGTGTGATCCCACTGATGCGGCATCTCGAAAGGACAAAGCTAGACTGGTGAAGGAGACACCAGTGGCTGCTGGGGACTAGGGCTGTGGGGCGTGTGACTACGAAGACGTAGCACGGGGTGAGGTGGCGCTGTGCCCTGCTCGTGCTGGTGGTACGCGGACCTACATAATACGTCACCTTTGGCAGAACTGCACAGCGACAGAAACTTCCACCCTAAGACCATCTAAAAACTACAAGTATTACATATGTATAATGCCATAACCAGTCACTGTGAGATTTAGGAGTCTACAATTCTCCTATAAAAGGCTTGCAAAACTATTGAGATTCAAGAATCTGAAAGTCCTTTAAAAAAAAAGAGAGAGAGATCACAGAAGTTAGGATTTTCATTCTTTTAACTTCTCTACAATTTCACAGGATTTTCAAATTCTTTAATTTTGGGCCTTCGGCCCAGGGCGTGATCCTAGGGACCGGGGATCGAGTCCCACGTCGGGCTCCCGGTGCATGGGGCCTGCTCCCTCTCTGCCTGTGTCTCTGCCTCTCTCTGTGTGTCTCTCATGATAAAATCTTTAAAAATAATAATAAAAGAATAAAAATTAACAAAAAATTTCGGGCCACCTGGGTGGTTCAGTGGTTGTGCGTCTGCCTCTGGCTCTGGGTGTGATCCCGGGGTCCTGGGATCGAGTCCTGCATCGGGCTCCCCCACATGGAGCCTGCTTCTCCCTCTGCCTGTGTCTCTGCCTCCCTCTCTGTGTCTCTCATGAATAAATAAATAAAATCTTTTTAATAGTTCTTTAATTTCAAAAAAATAAAAAAATAAAAATCATTTAATTTCAGTGGTTTTGCAAGCAAAATCAAACCCTGTAAGTCATGAGGGCTTGTTACATGGAATGAAAGGACTAATGCAACTGGAAGCCGTTTGCAGTTATTCTAGGACTACAGTTGATGAGACGGGCCAGGCTTTAACACAGCTCCGTGGCGCTGCCCCCACACCTACCTGCCTTCAGCCGGTGTTCCGGGCCCTTGATCTCCCCAGTAACGCCACTAACTACAGCCACTAACGGATGATGATAAAGTGGGGCAAGGAGTCAACCCGTGACGGCACGCTCGTAGCGCAACACTGGTCTTTCTCATAACCTCCAGTATCAGGGATGAACTGCTAGTGTCTGGAACGACTCTGCACTTGCCTCTATTAGGTTATAGATTCACTTCCTTTTTCTGTTCTCTGGAGACACAGCACAGCTGCTCAGTATCCTTTAGAAGAGTGTTTTCTTCTAGAAGTTTCCCAAGGGCCATTACTAAGTGTGAAAAACATTGGGAAGACCACAGCGGATTTGAATGTGAGTCACTTTCCATCTGCATACAGTTAAGTGAACTCACGGTACAGTTTTTATCAGATCGAAAGGCAAAGTGAAGCACTGACTCGCTGCTTCACGGGAGACGACCGTTTCTAGGCTTTCACCTGCCTACCGAGCTCCTGCGTACGAGGGCCAGAACCGCCTTCGCAAGCACATATCGTCACAGTGCCTCGAATGTCGTTCTTCTAAGATCTCTTTTCAAAATGTCACAGGTCTGGGGATCCCCGGGTGGCTCAGTGGTTTAACGCTTGCTTTTGGCCCCAGGGTGTGATCCTGGAGTCCCGGGATCGAGTCCCGCGTCGGGCTCCCTGCGTGGAGCCTGCTTCTCCCTCTGCCTGTGTCTCTGCCCTCCCCCCCATCATGAATAAATAAATAAAACCTTTTTAAAAAATGTCATAGGTCTTGGGGATCCCTGCGGGGCTCAGCGGTTTAGCCTCTGCCTTCGGCCCAGGGCGTGATCCTGGAGACCCCGGATCGAGTCCCGCATCGGGCTCCCTGCGTGGAGCCTGCTTCTCCCTCTGCCTGGGTCTCTGCCTCTCTCTCTCTCTGTCTATGTCTCCCATGAATAAATAAATAAAATCTTTTTTAAAAAGCCACAGGTCAAACAGAGGTTCTCTCCGGAGCCCATGCTGCTCCGCTGCAGAACAGGCACGGCTCTGGCTAACGCACCTCCTCATTCCCACAGGTGCTAACATGCCCTCTGTCATCAAAAACCCATGCTGCCAATAGTACCCAGGTAAAGAGAACAGAAGGAAGGACAGAGGGCAGGAGGGGGACATGACTGAATTAAAGGATAACGATGTCAGGTGTCTATGGGCTCAGATCCCCGGAAAGACCCTGTGACCCGAGTCTCCCCTGCCCGGGACACTGTGCTCCCTGCCCCCGGGACTCCAAGGGATCCCTCCGTCAGAAAGGTTCTCGAGCACTCGGGGTGGCGGAAAGGAACAGGCGCGATGGAGTCTCCACGCCTGCACTGGGCACACGCCAAGAGCTGCGAAGTCCCTGGGAGCAAGCAGGCCGTCGCAGGCCTGCAGGAAAGAACCGCCAACATTTGCACCTTGCCACCACACGTGCCTCAACCCCACCCTGGGGACCCTTGCATACTCGCCTCAACGTGGTGCGAGGCGCTGAAAACCGCAGCAAAGAAAACCTGCCTCGAACCGGCTGGTTCCCAGTAACCGGGTACTACGTTGCAGGGAGTGTTTTAGGATCGCAGGGGGCCCTCGGCCGTGCGCGCCTCCCTTAGAACGCAGCCCCAAGAACACGCGTCGGGGTGAAGCACACGAAGAGTGTGAAGCAGAGGATTACCATTTGGATGTAGCTCTCTTCCTCTTCTCTGGAAACAGAATCGGCAAAAAATCTTGCAGAATTAATACCGTTTCTTTCTGGAGAGAGAAATCTGGTTCGATTGCTGAGAACAAAAATATAGATGAGGTCAAGGCAATGTCTTACAGCTGCTCTGAAAGGCAGCCAGGAACTGACAGGGTCCCCATGGGCTCCCAGCCCTCCGCTTCCAGATACAATTTCCTCCTGGCCAAAGCAGTTCCTGAAGCAGTAGAGACTGCCCGGCTTCCGTCCCATCCTGGGGTGAGCAGCTCCCAATTCTCAAGGGCTACTTTTTTCCAGACCCTCCATGTGACACAGCTCACGAGCTTTCTAGAAACAGACCCAGGCATCGTATCATTTAGAAAACCCACACACACGCACACGCACACCAACACGCGCACACAAACTAAACGCTCCTGTGGGGCTCTCTCGTTTCCATCAACAGTAAGCAGCAAAAGCAGCGAGGTGTGGCCATCCCCCGATAGGATGAGAGCAAGACTGCAAATCATCTTCCGCCCTACTCCGGAGTCAGAAGCACGGGCTGCATCGCTGCAGTCTGACTGCAAACACAGCTGGCGGCCGAGCTCCGCTGTGCCGAGGGAGTGTACGCCGTGGCATGGACGGAGGCCCGGGGCACCGTCGGGCCAGGCCCAAGGCCTGGGAATGCAGCTTCTAAACGATGAGACGGGAGGCACATTTTGGGGTTTGCCGGCCGGGGCCCAGCGCCCTGTGTCCGAGAGCTCCCCCCGACCCTGTCCACAGAGACCGGCTTCTGGAAGCCTGGTGGGTATTAGTGGCCCTTCCCTCTGGGCCGCAGGTGCTTCTGCTCAGGCTGGGCCCGTGGGATTCCCTGTCTGAGGAAATGTGAATTGGGGTCGCAAGAGAGCCCATCCAGTTGGTGCTGGAGCCTCGGCACGTCGATGGGCTCAGGCCGTGGGGCAGGTGTGAGAGCAGCCGTTCTGGGGCTCCCAGCAGCTGGCTCCTGACGCTGGCGGCCTGGGCCACTCGTGACCCTGCTTCCTGGGTGATCCACACACACCTCGGGCTCCCGATCACAGACCCCATCCCTCTGACGGAAGCCCCACGGACTGGGCCCCGGCGACACTGAACCAGGGCCTCGGCCACGACCGGGACAGCCTGGGGCGGCTGAGGTCCCCCCCGGATCCGAGACATACCACGGTACAGTGCAGGTCCTGCTTAGAGATGCATGTTCCCGGATGGTGGACAGGTTCCTCAGGTCCAGGGGAGGTGGCCGTGCTAGGGGACAACACACAACACCCAGTGCAGTGAGTTCTCAGGGGGGTAAAGGCCGGAGACTGACGACTAAAGTCGCGACGCCCACGGACTCAGCACTGCACATCACACCCACGACCGAGCGGCGTGTCCCTGCCTGCCCTGGCCCGCTCACCGGTCACAGCAGCAGCTGGAGGGAAGGACGCTTCCGAGAACTCACCGAATCTCAGGCACACTTCTAGGCGCTGGCAGGCGCAGCGGGAGCCACTCGGAGCAGTCCCCGACCCTCTGGAACCCCAGCACCTACCTGACACCTGGCATGTCCCAAACGGACACTTCACCTTTCTCACTACAGGCAGATGGTGCAGCCTCTGGTCTGCCCTCCTCCAGTCCACCGTGTACCCGATAGTCTTTCTACCTAGAACATTCCTCCCCCCTCTGCCTGGTTAGTCATCTTCGGATTCAGCTCAATGTCTCCTGCACAGAAAACCTTCCTTGACGTGCAGACGAGACCAGGCCGCACGGCACAGGCTCCCGTGGGCTCCCGCCTTTACCCCTCGGAGCACCCCCCGCAGTGTGTGATGACACAGTCATCGTGATGATGGGATTTGGGTCCAGACTGGGAGGACTCCCAGACTGCTCTGGGAGGACGGGGAGTTTTTGGCTCGTCCACTGCAGGAGCCTTGGCACGTAGAGAAGCTGCTGGCATCTGACCCTTACTCTACCTCAGTGGCCCACCTTGCTGAGCTGGCCATGCATCTGTCCCTCTACCATGGTCCTGACCAGGTTCCTTTTGCGTCCTCCATGAGCCTACACAGAGAGAGACTATAGAAGTCCCCTCCGTATCATCAGAGCCTGGGACAGTGACTCCAGCTGCTCAGTCAGTTTCCCCGGAGCCTCTGACCTGAGCAGGGGACCAAGCTGGAAGGAACAGGTGAGTCACACAGTCCCTGGGGAGAGGTCTCTCCCGGCGGCATGTCACTCCAGCATCGGCCTCACCGACCAGCCAACTCGTGGCTCCTCCACCAGCCCTCACCCCGCCAGGCCCCACGGTCCACCCCTGCAGCCACCCCAGTCAGAGCCTGCCTGCCCGGCCCAGGTGTCCACCTTCACACCCTCCCAGGGATCCCCACCCCTATGCCCGTCCACGTGCTCATGCCTCTGATCGCCAGGCCGCACACAGAGCACTGCCCGATGCGGTAGCCACTAGCGGCACGGGGCGATTTAAATGTGTATTTATTAGCACAAAATAAAATTTAGAAACTCATCATAGTGGGACGTCTGGGCAGCTCAGTGGTTGAGCATCTGCCTTCGGCCCAGGGCGTGATCCTGGGGTCCTGGGATCGAGTCCCACATCGGGCTCCCTGCAGGGAGCCTGCTTCTCCCTCTGCCTGGGTCTCTACCTCTCTCTCTGGGTTTCTGATGAATAAATAAAATCTTTAAAAAAATCAATCGTGGCAATGAAAGATAGAGCATGGGGAATAAAGTCAAAGAGGCACTGAGGGGGACACTTGGCAGAAGGAGCACTGGGTGTTATGCTATATGTTGGCAAATTGAACTCCAATTAAAAAAAAATTAAAAAAAAAAGAATCCAGTTCTTCAGTTGTGGTAGCCACACTTCGAGTGTCCAATAGCCGCGCATCTATCATCACAGAGAGTTCTGGACAGTCAACTGAGCAAAACAAAGAGCTCCGTCAGAGTTACAAGGCCCCGTGAAAGTAGGCCTGACCACGGGGAGCACTCGTGGCCTCTGGGCCTCCCAACACAGGGTTCGTTGTCTTATTCGGTACTGGCTTGCTCGTTCTTCTTCCAGCTACTTTTTCCCTACCTTCCTCCTGCTCCCACCGGACAACCTGCTCCCTCATCTCCACATCCCACCCAGTGCCTAGCACAGCACCACACGCTCGGCAAACGTGCTGTCAGCGTGCCTGGACTCACACCGGAGGGGGCGAGGCCAGAATGACCGGGCTGGCCCGGGGGCCTCGGGTGCCCACTTAGGGCCTGGCCACCTGAAGCAGCAGGTCTTCCAAAGGGCGAACAGAGCTGGGAACCAAGCAGCCGTCACAGCCACTGTAGCAAAGACGTGCTGCTAATCACACGGGCCTGCTGGGCAGGTGGCGGGGGCAAGAGTGAGCTTAGCAGGTCACTTTGACCCGCTTTCCTTTTTTTTTTAAGATTTTTATGTATTTATTCATGAGAGACGGGGCGGGGGGGACAGAGACCCAGGCAGAGGGAGAAGCAGGCCCCATGCAGGGAGCCCGATGTGGGAGTCGATCCCGGGTCTCCAGGACCACGTCCTGGGCCGAAGGCAGACGCCAAACTGCTGAGCCCCATAGGGATCCCGCCTGACCTGCTTTTCTTTCCCCCCATCCCTCCTCCCTCTCTGTGCCTGCCGTTCGCAGACCGGAGAGGCCGCCTGGGAACAAGGCAGAAGCTTCGAGGAGCTCTGTGCCCACGGGATGCAGACTACGCACTGCTCCCAGACACCCCTGCTGATGGGCACGTGCAGGCCGGGGCGTGAGAAGTCGCACAGGACCAGGTGTGACACTCAGGTACTCATGTCACGAGTCATACCTCACTACCTGCCAGTGAGGACATCCGAGTGTGTTTAAACTGGGAGATGCCAGGCGGCTTTCATCGCCGTCACTTATTTCTGGGCCTTTGTTAGGGAAGCAGCCAGGGAGGGGCTCTCGGGACTGGCCCTGGGGGCTGCATGCGCTCGCTGCAGGACCCTAGGTGAGGTGCCCCGTGCCCCAGGTGCGGCCCTCCCTGCCCTGCCCGCCGCCCGGGCCTCCGAGGCGCCCCGCGAGTGCTCCCCTCCCGCACAGGCGCCCCGCGAGTGCTCCCCCCCCCCCCCGCACAGGCGCGACAGGCGACTTCCCACGAGCCCCCCCCCCCCCCGCACGCCAGGCCCAGTCGGGGCTTACGTCTCCTCTGGGGCTTGAGGTCCCTGTTCACCGGGGGGGGCTCCAGGTCCGCAGGCAGCTCGGGCAGGGGGCCGCACAGGCTTCCCGGGCTCATGGCCATGTAGTCGTCGCGGCTGCACGGCGCTCCGGCGACACGCGCGCCCGCCTGGGGGCCCATGGGCACGTAGCCGTCCCCGGGCCCGGCGCAGGCCGGGGGGCGCACGGGGGACAGCCTGCGGGGCTGCGAGACAACGGCGACAGGGGGCGGGCTCAGCAGCGGGGGCGGCGGCCACCAAGTAGGCGGCAAGGCTCCGAGCAGCCCCAGTCGGGTTCCGCCTCCGCGCCCCCGAGGCGGCCAGGGACACCGGAGACGGCGCCCGTGCACCTGCCGCAGGCGCTCCAGGCATAGCGCGCCCCAAGTCCCACCCCGCCCCCCAGAACTGGCAGGGCCCTTCCAGAAGGGCGGGCCCCATAGTTCCCAGGCAAGTGCAAGGCCTAGGGGGCCGGGGAGGGCCCTCACGGGCTCACTGCTGAGTCCCCACACACTGCAAGGGGAACAGATGGTGCTCAGGCTGTTTTTGGTGAAATTCAGGCTTAAAGGGACTCAAGTGCCAAACTTACCAAATTTATTTATTTTTGAAGATGTATTTATTTATTTATTCATGAAATGCAGAGAAAGAGAGAGACAGAGAGAGAGGCAGAGACACAGGCAGAGGGAGGAGCAGGCTCCCTGCAGGGAGCCCGACGTTGTTCTCGATCCCGGGTCTCCAGGATCAGGCCCTGGGCCAAAGGTGGCGCTGAACCGCTGAGCCACCGGGCTGCGTTTTTTTTTTTTTAAGATTTATTTATTTATTTATTCGTGAGAGACACAGAGAGAGAGGCACACACACAGACAGAGGGAGAAGCACAAACTTACCAGATTTAAACTAAGCCGCTTGTCTCGGTGTCTTAAGGATTGGCCTTCCACATCAGCTGTAAGAAACAAGCCGGGCTGGTGAGAAACGCAAGACAGTATGGGTCGAAACCGGGTTCCAAGCCCCTGGGCCCTACGCTCAGCTCCGGAGAGGTGGAGAAGCATAACACGCTTTCTACACGCAAGGCTGGCTACTATGTCTAGTTGGGCAGTCGGAACACATTCCCCCACGGAGGGAAATCAGGCCAGATTTGGGAGTTTCTGTAGGACGGCTTCAGTTCTCTCTGTGAATTAGGAGGAGATAGAGCAAAGAGTTAACAAATGCCTGTTGCATCCATTGTATGAATTTTCTGGGCATAGAGATGGTAGAGACAGAGCTGGAGGTTGGGAGAGAGAAGGTGTAAGAGAGCCCTAGAGACGAGCGGGTGGATGGGACGAGCAGACACGTGCTCATGAACTGGTGGTGACCATGACTTTCTATAGCAATAGTCAGCCACTCGGGCACAGACATGGAGAGAGAGGAAAGGTGGAATAATCCAGGACTAGATTCTTACCAGATGGCTGTGACAGTGTGATGTGAACATTTAGAATGATTGTTGAACTGAAAGAAGACACGTCCAGAAGACAGAGTGTTGACATAAATGGGCCTACACTCCAATGAGATATGATTTTTGGGAATTAGCATCTTACAGATGGCAGTGAAAACCATAAGACTAGATGAGTCTATCTAAGTTGCAAGTGTTACTGGGTATTTACCCCAAAGATGCAAACGTAGTGATCTGAAGGGGCACCTGCACCCCAATGTTTATAGCAGCAGTGTCCACAGTAGCCAAACTGTGGGAAGAGCCCAGATGTCCACTGACAGATGAATGGATAAAGAAGAGGGGGTCTATATTTACAATGGATACTGCTCGGCCGTCAAAAAAAAAGAGAGAGAGAGAGAGAGAGAGATTTTGCCATTTGCAATGATGTGGTTGGAAGCAGAGGGCACTGTGCTGAGTGAATAAGTCAATCAGAGAAAGACAATTATCACATGATCTCACTCATATGTGGAATTTAAGAAACAAAACAGAGGACCATAGGGGAAGGGAGGGAAAAATAAAACAAGACGAAATCAGAGAGGGAGACAAAGCCTAAGAGACTCTTGATCAAAGGAAACAAACTGAGGGTTGCTGGAGGGGGGAGGGGACAGGGTCACTGGGGAATGGACATGAAGGAGGGCACGGGATGTGATGTCACGAGCACTGGGTGTTATTAAGACTGACAAGTCACTGACCTCTACCTCTGAAACCAATAATACACTATATGTTAATTAATTGAATTTAAATTAAAAAATAAGAAAAAAAGAAATTATTGTCAGTTATTGCAAGTTCTATATTGCTATCTACACATCTGCGTTTCTTATAATTAAAATATTTAATACTAATGCTAGTTAATGTTTAAACTTGAATTTTACCTGTGATGCTAAAAATCAAATGAAAGCATATTTAAGTGGAAACATGCTTTCTTTCCCCACTTACATTTTTACTAGAAATAATGTTTAGCGGGCACCTGGAGGCTCAGTGGGTTAAGTGTCTGCCTTCGGCTCAGGTCATGATCCTGGGTCCTGGGGTCGAGTCCCACCTTGGGCTCCCTGCTCGGTGGGGAACCTGCTTCTCCCTCTGCCTCTGCCACTCCGCTGCGCCCACCCCCCTCCTTGGTCTCTCTCACGCACTCATGCTCCCTCTAATAAATTAATAAATAAAACCTTTAAAAAAATGTTTAGGCTTCAAGACTATCGATGACAGCACCGGATGCAGCATGGAAGTTTGAATCACTATACTGTACCCCAGAAACATACAGAACACTGTATGCTAACTGGAATTAAAATTAAAACTTCAAAAATATTTGTAAAAACTTTTTAAAAATATAGGGATCCCTGGGTGGCTCAGCAGTTTAGTACCTGCCTTCAGCCCAGGGTGTGATCCCAGAGTCCCAGGATCAAGTCCCGCATCGGGCTCCCTGTGTGGAGCCTGCTTCTCCCTCTGCCTGTGTCTCTGCCTCTCCCTCTCTGTGTCTCTCATGAATCAATAAATAAAATCTTAAAAAAAAAACTTTAAAAAAATATATACCTTTTTGTGAATTTTCTTTCTTTTTTTAAAAAAGATTTTATTTATTGATTCATAGAGACAGCGAGAGATGAGAGAGAGAGAGAGAGAGAGAGAGGCAGAGACCCAGGCAGAGGGAGAAGCAGGCTCCATGCAGGGAGCCCAACGTGGGACTCGATCCCGGGACGCCGGGGTCACACCCTGGGCTGAAGGCAGGTGCTAAACCGCTAAGCCACCTGGGCTGCCCAAATTTTCTTATCACGTTACTTCTGCTACAAAATAAGTGCAAAAATAAAAAAGATATAACTTGCCCAAGGTCTGAGAATTCATAACTAAAAGCAATGTTACTTTTATTTCTGTCATTAACTTCTGATTCCTAATCCAGGGTTCCTTTCACTGTATCATGTCATTAATGTTAATACATGTGTGGACTGTACCGATAACTAAATAAAATAAGAAAAGATAAAAAAAATAAGTTACAAACGTTGAGAGCAGTTTAATGAAAGACCCTATAGAATCTCAGTATTCAAAAAGCAGGAAGATGAGCAACCAGAGAATAATAAGAAAAGTCCAGGGACGCCTGGGTGGCTCAGTGGTTGAGCACCTGCCTTTGGCCCAGGGCGTGATCTTGGGAGTCCCGGGATCGAGTCCCACATCGGGCTCCCTGCATGGAGCCTGCTTCTCCCTCTGCCTGTGTCTCTGCTTCTCTCTGTGTGTGTGTCTATGAATAAATAAATAAAATCTTTTTTAAAAAATAAATAAATAAAAATAAAAAATAAAGTCCAGTACGTGCTCTCAGTTGAGTGCGTACAAGGGAAGTGTTCCTTAAGAACTTGTAGATATGAAAAGTCAGGCTGCCTTGGAAAAATAAAATAAGCTGAAGAGTCAACATCATCTTTTCTCGGCGGGGCAGAGGTGCAGAGGGAGACGGAGAGAGAATCTCAGGCAGGCTCCAGGTCCAGTGTGTGAGCCCAATGCGGGGCTCGATCTTATAACCCTGAGATCACGACCTGAGCTGAAACGAAGAATTGGACGCTTAACTGACTGAGCCCTCCAGGCACCCCAGGAGTCAACATCTTGAAGTGAGAGAATAATTCCCAGATCAGAAAGATGTGATGGAGGTTGTGCATTAAATACAGAGCTTCCTCAAATTCCTTTATCGGTTGTGTCTTGATAAAGTCACCCTAAAGTGAAAATATTCTAAATCGGAAATGTGCTTACTCCACCTAACCTACCAGACATACCTTAGCCTGGCCTGCCCTACACTGCTCGGTACACTAACACTCCCCTCCAGCTGGGCAAAGTCAGCTAAGACATAAGCCTATTTTGTAATAAAGTGTTGGCTACCCCGTGTAAAATGTATCGCATACCATCCTGAAAGCGAAAACCAGAGTGGTTGTTACGTGTATCGGTTGTTTGGCCTCCTGATCGCGGGGCTGACCAGGAGCTGCCGCTCACTGCTACCGCCCAGCATCACAAGAGCAGACTGGACCACGTATCACCAGCCTGGGAAAAGATCCAGATTCAAAATTCTAAGTACAGTTTCTACCGAATGCAGATTGCTTTGCGTTATCATAAAGGAAAAACATCCTAAATTGGGGGCACCGGCGTGGCTCAGCCGGTTGAGTGTCTGACTCTTGGTTTCAGCTCAGGTCTTGATCTCAGGGTCCTGGGATCGAGCCCCGCATTGGCCCCCGCCACACTCTCAGTAGGGAGTCTGCTTGTCACTCTCCCTCTGCCCCAGCTCTTGCTCGTGCACACATGTGCACTTTCTCTTCCTCTCTAATAAATTAATGAATCTTTAAAAAATTCCTAAATCAAACTACCATAAGTCGGGGGCCATCTGTATACACATATATGTACATATATGCATATCTCCATTTCTTTATATATTCTTTTCTAACACAAACGGTAGCATATTATACTCCCTGATCTGCAACTTCATTTTTTCATTTAATATCTTGGAGATCAGGGCAGAGAAACACAATAAAGAGTTTCTTCATTCTTTTATTCACTGGCCTTATGTTTCATTATAAATGATGATCATTATAAATGATGGGCCATCATTTGAATATTCTAATATTAGATATCAATTTTATTCCCAACATTTTGCTTTAACACAAAGGAAAGGGGTACCTGAGTGGCTCAGTCAGTTTAGCATCTGACTCCTAATTTCAACTCAGGCCATGATCTCATCAGGGTCCTGAGATTGAGCCCCACATTGGGTTCCATACTCAGTGGGAAGCCTGCTTCTCTCCCCCCACCCCCCGCTTGTGCTCTCTCTCTCTCTCTGTCTCAAATAAATAAATAAATAAGTAAATCGATCTTTTTTTTAAAAAATTTTTAAATAAATAAATCTTTAAAAACAAAGGACAGAAATGGTTGAAAAAACAGACATAATGAAATAAGAACTGAATGATGTACTCAGGAAAGATAACGAAGAGAAAGATAAAACCAGCCTCAGAAATGAAGCCTAAGTTACCAGATTCCCAGGGAGAGATTCAACAGAAAATTTAATAAGTGCCATTGAAGAAATGCCAGAAAACAACTAAAAGAATAAAAAAGAAAGAAAGAGAATCACAGAAAAAATGGTTGACATAGAAGACAGGCAAAGAAGATGCAGTATACATATTTATTATTAGATTCCTCAAAGAAGGAAAACCAAACTGTGGTATAGTACTCATATTTAAGAATATAATCCAAGAAAAAGTCCATAAACAAAGTACACCTGACACCACATACTGAAAGGGCCTGCCAAGTACCTGGATTACCTGGAGAGTCAACTCTACCCAAGATGCTAAATTCTATTACAACGGCTATATTGATAAAATGACAGAATGAAAATAAATAAATACTTGGAAATAGTTCAAAGCTAGAGAAAGAACAGAGAAAACCAAAAGACATCACAAAATAAATATAAAAGCAGAAAATCGTAGAGTGTAGAGCAAGAGTTGACTTAATTTTAAAGAAAC